AAAAAAAAAAAAAAAAAAGGATCTGATGGTGATTGAGGCCCTGCCTGTACCTCCTGGGGAAGCTGCAGTTCTGATTCTGGCCACAAGATGGCGATTTCCAAGTTTCCTAAAATTTCTCCAGGCAACCATTTATATGAAAATGGCAAAAAAAACAATGAAACATATTTTTGTACTGGTGGACTATGAGACAGCATGTAGGGTATTGTGAAAATTCCACTGAGAAAATTATACGTATAAAGAAGGAAAAATCCACATGGTGATTGATGTGAGGATTCAAACAAAATCTATAGTCTGACTCATAGTAGACACAAGGCAATTGTCACTTCCCTTCTCTCTTGTCCCACTTCACACTTTCCCAGTCAGAGAGATGATTTCAAAATGAGCCAGATAGCATAACTGTATCACAGAGAGAATTTAAAATAATAACAAGAAGAAAAGTAAACATGGCATCTACATCACAGATGAGATGAAACATTCCTGTGTTTCAGAATGACATGTCTTCTAAAGTTTTGGTAGGGAAGTTTCTCTTTGCTTTTTCCATTTAATTAGTTTGAATTTCTGTCTCCTTTTGGACAGCTTTTCTCCTTTTGGAGTGAGGATCAAGACAACCAGCTCACAGGACCAGATAGTCCATGATCCACGTAACACTGGGTAAGGCTCCTCCCATTTCAGGAAACATTTCACATTAAAAACTCGTTGAGAACGTGAGGTATAATTTATTTTGCTCCCTGCTCTTCAGCCATAGCATTTCAAATTAAAAGCCACATGTCATACTAAAACCATGTTAGGTTGAAAATTTGAGGTATAATTAATTTTGCTCCCTGTTTTGTAACCACACCATTTTGTAATTAAAAGGCATAGCTTCTAGTTTAGGGAAAGAATCTCATATGTTAAACCATTATGAAGAAATCGTGCAAGGGGCTCTTAAGATTTCTACCTGAGGTCTTAGCCAGCGACTTCGTTCTCAAGAAATCTTTGATAACTGTCTTTTCAGATAAGTAAACATAGCAACCATTCTGAATCTCTGCCTTCTAAGCTCATGCTTTTAACAAGGTCATTGTGTTACTGTCTTGGTCCAGGAGATGCATACTCCATTATCTTTGCCTGCCTCGGGTGAACAGGAAAGTATTTCTCACTAATATAAAGCTGGGTGTTCAGCTAGAACAGTGCTTCTCCAGGAGTTCTTGGACAAGTTGCATTAGAATCACTTGAGAACTTAGAAATACAAAATGTTGGGTCCTCTGTAGACCTTAATAAAACTCTCTGGATAGGACCTAGAAATCTAGCTTTATTAAGACCTCTAGATGATTCTGACACATGCAGAATTTATAGTCCCACTGCCCTATGTAAAACATTGTGGGCACAAATGCCCCAAAGTGTCTAATGACATAAATAGAGCCCCTGATATAACCACTGCAACCTTTCCCACCTCTGCTGACATGTACACAAATTTACTCCTTAATAGTCATGTGCAATAATAAGGGGAAATTCTTGAATTTGAGGTATTATAAACCACTTCTCCAATTCTTATCCCCCACTTTACATTATACTGCATTTTCTCTTCCATCTCATGCCTCACTGAGTAGTATTCTTTCTTTTGTCTATTCTCTATTTGCAATTGCTCACTTTCTGCTCTAGCAAAATAACTTTGTTTACTGATACTTTTCTTCTTTTCTTTTTCCCTATTTCAGTATCTTCTATATTGTCACATTCAAACAACAGACTCAAGCATCCTTGGGAAATTCTGCTGGAGGAGAACAGGCTCCACAAGCTGTAAACACTTTGTAGTTCTAAGACAAAGGAGACTTTGGTAAGAGTATTGCTTTTGGTAGGAACTGCCTTAGCAGTCACGAGAGTAGCCAGACACCTCAGTCTCTGATAATAACCTTTTAGCACACAAATCTAAGGCATAATGGATGCCGAGTATGTCCTATGCAATTGGAAAGACCAGTTATGGCCAGGAAAAGTTTTGTCCAGATCTGAGACTTCATCAAACAATAAGAGAAAAAAGACATTTTTCCTAGAAGTTCAAATACTTTTACTAGATGAAAAAATTAAAGTGGAAAGTGCAGAAACAAAGATCCTAAATAAATCTCAGATTGAAGCCATCACCTCCTCACTAGCAGCACAGTCAGAGGTCAGTGCTGCACCTAGAGAGGAAACAGCCTATGCAAGGTCACTAAAAGTAGCACTGGATATTCTGAATGAGAAAATAAATTTGAATCAAGCAAGCAGTTCATATGAAGAAGAGGTCACTACACTGTCTCAAAATGTACTACCAGAGCTTTCTGATTCACCCCCTCATAAAAAGTGTCGAGAGCATGAAGGAGACTTATCAAAGTGTCTCATGGAAAGTGAAAATCCCACATCCCTGTCAGTATCTTCAGAGAGTGATGATTCCCTGTATGATGATAAATCCCAGGTGCATGCGACCATTGATAACATTTCAAGTGAAATGGAAACAAAGTCATCACAAAACTCCAGCTGGTACCAAACTTCCTCTTCACTTTCAGAAGAAGATGAAAAGGAAAGCAAGGAAAAGATTGACATATCAACAATTATGTCTTTGCATTCCACAATCAAAAAGGAGGATGCAAGTGTTAAAGATGAGAAGTTCACTCCAACTTGGCCTTCAGATTTCTTCACTGTGCCCAAAGCTGTGAAAGAGGAGCCAGAGGACATCTGCCCAGAGACCCTGGCTGTTTCCTCTGAACGATCTACCTTCTCAGAGAATATTGAAGATCCTGGAGAGGGTCCCTCGAACCTACACTCAGACACCAGCCAGAATCAACCTACTGTGGAATCAGAGATGGGTGCTGTGGCGTCCCCCAGGCATGATTCATGGGAATCTCAGGTTTTATTTAGTGCCTCTAACCACATTCTGAATTATTCACACCTTCTTGTGAATAATGAAAGAAGTCTTCAGAGACTGGATTTTGAGGAACTTGAGGAAGAACTTCAAGCTTCTGACAAGTCAGGGTATCTAAATCTTATTGATGCTTCTGTATTCGATGACAGCGAGGAAGATGAAGAACTTCCACGCTTAGTTTTTAATTATGTGCCACGTTCATTTGAACCAGGAATGATAGTCTGGTTTAAATATCAAAAATATCCATTTTGGCCAGCAGTGGTAAAGAACATCAGGAGAAAAGAAAGAAAAGCAAGTGTGCTTTTTGTTGAGTCAAGCATGAATCCTGAAAAGAGAGGCATTAGAGTGTCTTTTAGAAGATTAAAGAAATTTGATTGTAAAGAGAAACAAGAACTAGTGGATAAAGCCAGGGAGGATTACAGAGAAAGTATCGACTGGTGCATCTCACTGATTTGTGACTACAGAGTTAGATTAGGTTGCGGTTCTTTTGCAGGCTCTTTCTTTGAGTATTATGCTGCTGACATTAGTTATCCCATTAGGAAAACAATCAGACAGAATACCTTCAGAGACTTATTTCCAAAGCTGCATAATGAAGATTGTAGGGAACATATAGCCATGACTTCCAAAGCCAAGAAAATGTCCTTCCAAAAAATTCTCCCTGACCGAATGAAGGCTGCTCGAGACCGAGCCAACAAGAACCTAGTGGACTTCATTGTGAATGAAAAAGGAACAGAGAACCATCTTCTAGCCATTTTAAATGGCACAAAAACATCCAGGTGGCTGAAATCATTTTTGAATGCAAAACGTTTTGCTCCCTGTATTGAAACCTACTTGGAGGATGAAAATCAGTTGGATGAGGTGGTGAAATATTTACAAGAAATCTACAAACAAACAGACGGAAAAATGCAGGCTCTGATAAGAGAAGATAAAGTTAAATTTATCCTGGAAGTTCTTCTGCCAGAAGCAATCATTTGTTCAATTTCTAGTGTTGATGGATTAGATTACAAAACAGCTGAAGCAAAGTATTTAAAAGGACCATGTCTAGGATACAGAGAAAGAGAATTATTTGATGCAAAAATCATATATGAAAAGAGACGGAAACCACTAGCAAATGAGGCTCATTAAATCAGTTGATAGTCCAAACCATAACAGGGAGCTTACATAGATAAAAGTTTTTAAAAATCTCTCTAACACGTAAATACTTTGCAGAAATGGGAGACTGGGTAATGTGTGCACTTTTATCTTTTTTTTGCAATCACTATGATCTATGAATATTATTACAGCAACATTTCCTTTTCTTACGCTTCTTCAAAGTGAATTTTATTAACATATTTCAGCAGTTCTACTTTCCTGGATATTTCTAGATTGCATAATTCCTAAATGATTTTTAAGGGAAAGTACTATTTTGGGCAGGTTTTTTTTATCATTTTTGTGTCTATGCTGTATAGTTAAATACAGTGTACATAATCATTTTCATATTAAGATTTCACTGGTATTAGATATTAAGCAAGGTAATTCGAAAAAAAGTCTAAGAAACGTCAATTATATATTTTTTTGCTTAGTTTTTTATAAAAATACCGGGTTTCTCTTAAGATAGTTGAATTATTTTTCCTGCCATGCCTATTTATTTTTGGAAAAACAATCTCTGAGATATAGAACCAAAGATAGAGATGCTTTGCTATATATTATAACTAACTGTAATTGCTTTTGCAAGAAAACAATCTTGAATTCAAAAATAAAGTAAATGGTTTATCTGCATGCAGCCTATATGTGTGTGAATAACATCTCAGCTTGCAGAAAATAATTTTGGCAGCCTTGAAAAGGATTGTTAATTCTACACTTCCCTGACATTCAGTTTATGGGAGTGTCTATTCAATAGCTGAATGGTTTCTTAAAACAAACAGGCTTTTAGCTGTTTTCATAACTAACAGTAACTGTATCTTAATATAGCTGTCTAACCACATGTGGAAGGCAGCTAGAGTGATTGTATTCACAGTCTGGCTACTCCAGAGTATGAGTCCAGGCTGACTGCTTAAGAGCCCATCTAGTTTGCTATAAACTGTAGAAAATTCAAGTACTTTGTTCTGAGTCTTCTATCTCTAAATAAATAGTCATTTGTTTCAAACCAGGCAATCGGTATCACCTGGCTTATTCGTAGAATAGTTCCAATTGGTTCCAATAATATAAATGTCAAATGGTAAGTCATTCCAGGCTACTACAAAGAGTAGATGGACCAGAATCTGTGAATTTGGAAATGGGTCATAGAAAAAGCCTCTATTTGGCTTCATATGACAATTATCCTAATATTTTAAAATACACAGTTAAAAGTTAAAATCTAACTTGAAACAAGACTCGTATGAAAATAAATGTTAGAAGGGCTACTTTATTTTAGAAACTTGACATGAAAATAAATACTAAAGGCTTAATATGTACTTATCTCCATTTTAACTCTTAAAAGTGAGACAACTGTTACTCTTGGGTTTTTGTAATGTGTTTATATGGCCAATTGTTCATGTAAACTTTGCAAAACTTTAATGGATTGATTTGTAATAAAACCGTTATATACTTCACCTTGGATGTTCACTTCATTATACTTCAGATGGTGTAGTTACATAGCTGGTCTCTCTCTCTCTCATACACACACATACACACACACACACACTACATATATATATATATATATATATATATATGTAGTGTGTGTGTGTATGTGTATAATTGCTGCATATATATAATTTGTATGGAATTTTTGCTTATTGTCGTTATCATCATGTTAATGCTTGTTAATACATTATCTCATCATTCTAAATAAATAGTCACTTTCATGATTGACTTTGTATTATTTTAAAAGAAAGCCTCCCAACTTGTATAAGCTTCAGCTTCCACAGAACCTCCTCTGGACCCTGCGTGACAAAGACCAGGACACCTTGGGCGTACAGCTTGTGTCAATCCACATAGCTTCCTCATGCTCCTGAGGAGGATTTGACAACAGACCATCACATTATACCCTGGGGAAAACACACTGCATTTACTCCAAAACACTGTGTCCCTTTGATTCCAATATATTTACCCATCTTCAGCATTCTCAGTGGAGCCATTTCCATCTCTTGGTTCTAGTATTTTCTTTACTACCTCATTCATGTATCCATTCACTCATACATTTGTTAGTTAGGAAAGCAAGCAATTTCTAGTTTGAAGCTCTACTTTGAGGATTTAAGGTGCCAGATTTGAGGTGACCCAAATGACAGGGTCAGGCTTAAAGTGGGCCAGATGGCATTCTCATTTCTAAAATGACTAGGTTACCCTACTTCATCATAATAGTGAGAAATATTTATCAGTCTCATGGACTTACTGCCTGTGTTTGAAAACCGGAACCCCAGGCTTCCCCACATTTGTCAGATATTGGGTGTCTGGTTTGGGGTAAAGGAAGGGCACCTGATTGCTTCTGTGATGTCATTTATATTGTGGCTTGTATTGAAGTGTGGGAGATGTGTCTCAGGCAACTATTCTCTTCTTTAAATGAGTGGGCATTTGGGGTGTGGGAGTGGATGAGTTTGGCTCTCAACTCAGTGTGGATTCTCAGATCCCTTTCAGCTTGAGTAATTGAGGCTCGCTCTAAGAATGTCCTAATCTAGGTCTCTAACCTAGGTTTGTGTGTCTGATGGGAATACCTGTTCTAACCCAGTGGATTAAGGAGACCCTCATCTCTTCCAATCATAGGCAGGCTGCAGAATATCAGACCCAGATTTTAATTTTAAGTTTGGCAGAGCTGCATGGAAACTGTATTCACATCATTTACAGGTCTCTGTATCAATATATGTACCCTAAAATGGAAAGAGTAGAACTCTGAGAGCTGTAAGAGTATTGAGTGTGAGTATCTTGAATACCTACAATCTCCTGACCCCTCTGCCTGGCAAAAGCAGTTCCCTAAACTTTGCTATTAAAAAACAGCTTCCCTGTTCCCAGAGACAAGGCAAGCTACCTCATCTACAACTGCTACCTCAAGGACATTGTCTTACTCAACATCCAGCAATGATATTTTTCATTGCTCCCAACTCATGGCAAGGGTAACGTATCATCACAGCACAAGAAGCAAAATACAGTCTCTGTTTAGGTGGAAAAACCAAAGGAACTATAGGAACTAGCTAATATGTACTAGCACAAACTGGGATAATATATGTTGAAATGGATTTTGAGGATGTTGAATTACCAAGGGAAATGGGCAGGGTATAAGTAAATATGGGGAGAACTTACTGATGTATGACTCAGGGTTCAATGACCTGGAGCTATCTAAATATGCTGCTCAGGTGGCATCTTTAAGTATGGACAGCAGCCTACAGTAAATGAGATGGAGACACTGGCACTTTCTTGCCAGAGTATTGAAGAATTGGTGAGAAGATCAAATGGAGTGAAGGTATTAGAAGTGATTTATTGCATTAAACAAGAGGACCTATCTCTAAACTATCTCCCCTGGGAGGGCAGAGAAAACACTATTATAATACGAACTGTGTTGGTGAAGAGGAACACTACATTTTTTTTTAAGATTTTTTTTATTGGGGAATTGGGGGAAGGGGAACAGACAAGTTGCTGTCGTTTTTTTGTTCTTCAGTCTAGTTGTGGAGGACGTTGCTTCACTGGCCCAAGTTGGCACCATCATTGCGCTCTTCCCTGGCGAGGCAGATCAGTCGCCGGCTTCTGGACAGCCGCTCACTGCAGCTGCTGGCCGCTCACGCTGGCTGCTGGCTACATATGGTAGCCCATGGCAACCCACTGCCACAGGGGCTGCAGCCTACGCCGTTGCCAGCGACTCACAGCAGCCCAGCTCCAGGTTGAGCTGTTATTCAGCATCTTAGCTGTAGAGGGCAGTGTCACTGGCCCTCATATGTGGGATCCGAACCGGGGCCCTCTGGCATCCCAAGCGAGTTCTTAACCATCGCGCCACTCGGCCGGCCCGGAACACTACATTTTTGAGGAGCTCAACGTTGGTTCTCCTCTGCAAACCATGATCGGAAGTAAACTATGTTACAATGGAAATGATAGGCTTCACGAATAGTAGGATCAAGATGGCAGCACAAAACCTCAGGGGCAAGCTAGGCATCATTACCATAATGGGAAGCAAGGTCAGGGTAGAGTCGAGGTATGTTAACTGACAAAAATCTGTGGCAATGACATACAGATAGTATTCCAGGGATAGATGTATGCACAGCTGACTAGAGTATCACTTCTTTTGAACAAAAAGAAAACACATTTGGCAATTTAAAGTTTGATGTTTGCAGCTGTGGTGGAAAATCATGATCCCAACCAATTTTTCAGATCTGCAGTGTAAGTAGCTCTGTTACTCAGGTAAGAAGTCAGCATATCTGGCAATGCTTACCATATCAATGGTGGATGCACTATCTAGTCACTCTAAGCCATAATATAGGAGTACAACACAGAATCATGGAGTTCCTTACAAAACCATACCTCCTGTGCCCGTAAACTACTTGCCATTTTAAAAACAGCTCCTTGTATACTATTTAGCATTAGTAGATATTGAATGTCTACCCAAGAGATACCAAGTGACTATTACAGGTGCTGCCCACCATGTGCTGTACATTATAAGATTCACCAAGTGATAAAGTCTGGCAGGTTCAAGAGCATTCCACTCTGTGATGGAAATGCTACATTCAGGATCCAGCCAGAGCAGGCACAAATAAATCAGCAGATTGTACATACCGCCATGCCATTGAGCATTGTTTCATTGATGACCCTCATGGGGTAGGAGATGATCTATGACCAACTAATGGAAGAGGAAGTTAATGAAGACTGGTGCAAAGATGTGTCAGCATTAAATGTTGATGATAGCTGTAAAAGGACTGCCACCTCATTTCAGCTTCAGTTGGAATAGCTTTAAAAAATAATGTTGAATGTAAAACTCCCAGTTGGCAGAGCTCCCACCAGTCTTTCAATTTGTATAAAGGACCTTGTAGCTTGTGGTGGTCTTCTGGACTGTGGAGAGTGATTTAGCTGGTATGCCAGGTCTTGGAAAGAGAAGTATTGGAATTTGAAGGTAAGAAAGTTTGGATAAGAGGCATGTGGATGGAACTATGGGAATGGAAACTAAGCATATGTATCTCTGTACCTCAAATTAATGGTCATCCAAGGAATTGACTATAGAGAAGACACTTAAAAAACAAGTGGATCTGATGACTCATGCTGTGGATGTCAGGCAGCTTCTCTCCTTAATCATCTTTGTTCTGGTACAATGGATCTATGAATTGTCATGGTGGCATAGATAGAGCCTAAGCTGGAGCTCAACAGCATTGGTTCTCTCTCATCAAGGGTGATAAGGCTACTGCCACTGCTGAATGTATAACTCCCCAAGAGCAACAGCTAATGCTGAGCTCTTATTCCTGCACCTTCCTTCAAGGATATTATCCAGCTACCTCATTCCACACTGAATGCACTACACCCATTCTATCTTAAAGGTGGCAGTTCTTCATCCTAACAAGAATGGATACCAACTTTGGACCCATAGGATCAAGCACCACTTGCTTGTAATGCTGTGCGATTTCATAACACACACTTGTTTTACTTTTCCTACTTCCTTGTTTCACTACTTACTTCCCTCTCTCTGACTCACTAGAATCATTTGCCAAACAAACTACTTAAGTGGAAGTTCCTGTGTCATGCTGTCTTTTGTGGACACTCAGACTAAGATAACCAGCAATAATGTATGTATTTTTATAAAATATAAGTAAGTACTGCTATATCAAAAACATATTAAATATTTTAAACTTATTCATAAGTGAAAGCTGTTAAAAGTTAGTAATTTGTCCAGTTCTTCATAAGACAGTCATACACTTCCCCCTATTCCTCCTGCCAAAATCAATAACCTAAATTTTCACCTATGAAAGTAGAGAAAGAAGAGCACATTAGATCTAAAACAAGCAGAAGAAAGAAAGAACATAAATAGAGCAGAAATCAACAAAATTGAGAACAAGGAAATAAAAGAGTAGGTTAATAAAACCTAAAGCTGGTTCTTTGAAAAACATCAATAAATTTGAAAATATTTTTGTGAGGGTAACCAAAAACAAGAGAGAGAGAGAGAAGACACAACTGACCGATATTAGCAATGAAAGAGGGGATACCACTACTGATCCCATGCTGGATATTAAAAGGATCATAAAATATTTCCAATAACACTATACCCACAAATTAAATAACTTAGATAAAATGGACCAATTCCTCAAATAGTTTCAAAGGCAAATATTTTATAGTATTTCTTTTGACTCTACTTGATATTTTAAAATAGGATTCACATTCTTTTATTTTACATGAAAAAGCACTGGTGTCAGGTATTAAGCAATAGTAATTTTTAAAATGTAATGTATATTTTCCCAGAAATATAAATCTATTTTCCTTTTATTTATTTATTTTTGCTTCATTGATATAAATCGTTGGATTTCTTTTTAAGATAATTCCTAACTTCCCCCTATTAAGCCTGTTTATTTTTGGAAAAATAGCTTTGAGGTGTCAAACCAGTGACAGAGATGCTTTTTGTATATTTTTACTAACTTTACTTGCTTTTGCAAGGAAATAATCTGCAATTATAATAAAGTTAATGCATTATCTTTATGCAATCTACATGTATTTGAATGAAATGTCACCATG